CCTCAGCCCTTCCTGTGGCCAAGTTCTTTGCTCTTCTCCTCCTCCAAGGCTCTGAAATGCCGTTTGCTCCACACGATTGTGGGAGTTCAACGACTTGTGCCCCTTGGCAAACTCCCACCTAAATAAGAATTTTCATATCAGGGTGACAAATGAACTTGTGAGTCGGGTGCTCTGTTAGGTCTTCTTTTTCTTGTGGGCAGTGTTTATTTTTTTCAGTGCAATTTAGGAACAAATTTTTTCTCCTGCCGGCTGCAAACTCTTTGCCCTCGTGGATGGTCTCAACTCTCCTGGGCTGATGCAGGAACTGGGGTTCAAGTCACTCCCCCGAGTTGTTTACAACCAGAGGTTGCAACACCCACAGAGCTGAGCACCCCAGACATCAGCATCCTGCAGCCATCCTCACAAAGTGCCCTCCCTTGTGTGATGCCAGGTAAATATGAAAATGTGGGGTGTTTTTTTGGAAAAACATCCGAATCTCAGCACCATTGCCTCACCTGGAAATGCATAACTGCTTTCCCGTGGGTGACGCTGCACCCGCTTTTTTTTGCTGAGCCAAGAACGTTTTGTTTCTTTTCTGAGGGAATATTTTTCTTGCCGTGACACAATACCCCTATGTTTTTCTCGCCGAAGTACATTTCGATACAGAACATCATTTCAGGAGGAGAGGCTGAAAATGTCAGTCTGAAAATGGCACTTGTCTCATCGCCAACATTTACTAAATTCTATTACTTTTTTTTTTTCAGCAAAAAAGATTTTAGCCGTGGGGAGGAGAATAAAAATCCCCATAAGCTATGTTTGTCCACCTCAGTATCCGGCAGATTGTGGGTAAGGGGAATCCTTCTTCTCTCCATATAGCCAGTAGCAATGAGGCAGCTCTCAAACAGGGAGATCTGAGCTCAACCTTACCAAACTGTGCAGAAAACTTTTAATAAGACCCATGGATTTCCTAACCAACTATCCCACTCCTCCATGAATCCTCATTTAGCCATTATGTTCCCACCACGGGTGTTGAGAGAAGGAAAGGCAATTCCCAGTGGAAGCCTTGAAGATGCGAAGCAATGTACATTCTTTAATGAAAATATTTTTTGTCTACATGGGGCAGAAGAGTGACTGTTTATAGATATCTCAGGCATATTTGTGGGCACCTGTTATGGCCAGAAGAATTGTGGCTTGTACCTCTGGATGCTCGCATTGCCAGGGCACAGCAGGGCTCCCCAGGCAAAGGACTGACAGTCCAAAATTCTGGCACCAAAACGTTGCGGAAGAGCCCTGCCAAGCTGGCAGCACGGGCAGCAGCCGATCCACACCACGTTTGAGAGGTGTCATTTTTAGACACTCGTTGTTTCCTACCTGGTTGCAACCTGAGAGCGGTTTTCTTCACTCACGGGGAAGGCAAAGCCTTTTGCTTCTGCTGTTTCTCTGGCCAATTACAAATATTTCAAAAGCCAGGAGAGACTTTTCGTGCTATTGGAACTGCTCTGATCCTTTCGTGGGCACGCTGGCCCACGATGTGAGCTTGGAGGAATTGGGTCCACGTGGCCACCAAACCCCAGAGGATTAGCCTCCCACTCGTTGGATTTCTCTTTGGGCACCAGCTCCAAATGCCTTGAGGATCTGGAAAGCAGCATTTTGCAGTGAGAAGCCTGGGTTTGAACCCTGTTTTCTTCTTAACGTACAGTTTGGGATGGCTTCTCTTCACCTGTACAGGGAACGCTCAAGTGAAGGAGAAAGTGGGACTGGCTAAAGACCACAGGGAGTTTAGGGTCAAGCTGAAAGGCCATGGGACAGGACTTGATCTACCAACCTGGTTCAACCTGGGGAAGCAGAAATTCCCACATTTGCTCTGCCTTTCTTAAAGGGTTACTGCTTCCAGCTGAATTATGAACTAAAATTATACACAACAGCATTAGCACACTTTTATTTTACAAAAATAAACTCAGGGGTATGTGTGACTTGGTTTGGCACAGTGGTCCTGCAGGGCAAATGGCGCAGTCGTGAACCTCTGGACATCTTCGCTTTCTTGAGCAATCACATGTTTCTCTCTCCTTGTACCACGTTATTTCCTGCACATAATTACAGTTCTCCAATATCTTTTATTCCAAACATCCCTTGCATTTCCCTGTTAAATGTCTTGTTTGTGCAGTCTCTGAGATATCCTGCAGAACGCAGCTCCGTTTCTCTTTGATTTAACCAAGGCAATTGCAGCTGATCACCTCCTTCTGACTGGTTTTTGAAAGAAAGGAAAGAGAAAACAAAAGAGATGTTGGAGATTGGCTGCAGTTTAGGCTTCTTCTTGGACCTCCCACGCTCACAGTGGCTCAGGAGGTCTCTGATGCTATGGGATTGTCTACACCAGGTCATAGAATCATGGAATAATAGAATCACAGAATCATTTAGGTTAGAAAAGACCTTTAACATCGCTGAGTAAACCCAACACTGCCAGGTGCACCATATCTACCCGGCTTTTAAATACCTCCGGGGGTGGGGACTCCACCCCTGCCCTGGGCAGCTTGTGCCAAGGCTTCACTAGCCTTTCAGTGAAGAAATTTTTCCTAATATTCAGTCTCAACCTCCCCTGGTGCAACTTGAGGTCATTTCTTCTTGTTCTGTCACTTATTCCTTGGGAAAAGAGACCAACCCCACCTCACTACCCCCTCCTGCCAGGATGCTGCAGAGAGCGAGAAGGTCTCCCCTCAGCCTCCTCTTCTCCAGCTGGACAGCCCCAGCTCCCTCAGCTGCCCGTCCCCACACGTGTTCTCCAGCTCCTTCCCCAGCTCTGTTGCCCTCCTCTAGACACACTCCAGCACCTCAAGGTCTCTCCTGTTGTGAGAGGCCCAAAACTGAGTGCAGGGTTCGAGATGTGGCCTCACCAGTGCCGAGTCCGGGTGGACAATCCTTGCCCTGGCCCTGCTGGCCACACGATGGCTGATCCAGGCCAGGGCGCCCTTGGCCCTCTTGCCTGAGCGCTCTGCTGGCTCGGCTTCAGCTGCTGTGGACCAGCACCTCCAGATCATTTTTTGATGGGCACTTTCCAGCCACTCCTCCTCAAGCCTGTAGTGCTGGTGGGAGGGTTGTTGTGACCCAAGGGCAAGACCTGACACTTGGCCTTGTTGAATCTCCTAAAATTGGCCTTGGCCCATTGATTCAGCCTGTCCAGATCCCTTTGTAGAGCCTTTCTCCCTCCAGCAGATCAATACTCCCACCCAGCTTGGTGTTATTGGCAAACTTAGTGAAGGTGTACGCAATCCCCTTGTCGAGATCATTGATAAAGATACTAAACAGAACTGGGCCCAGTATTGAGCCCTGGGGAACATCACTTGTGAGCAGCTGCCAACTGGATTTAACACCATTCACCACCAATCTTTGGGCCCGGCCATCCAGCCAGGTTTTCACCCAGTGAAGGGTCCACCTGTCCAACCCATGACCAGACAGTTTCTCCAGGAGAATGCTTTGAAAGACAATGTCAAACGCTTTACTAAACTCTAGGTAGACAACATCCACAGCCTTTCCCTCATCCACTAAATGGGTGACCTTGTAGAAGGAGATCAGCTTAGTCAAGCAGGACTTGCCTTTCACAAACCCATGCTGACTGGGCCTGATCAATGGCTGTTCTGTACGTGCCTGTATGTCGTATCACAATACATCAGACCTCAGTAAAGGAAACGTCCTGGTTTGGGCAAGCTCCGGGCACCATTTAGGATCAACCAGGAGAAATGGGCATTTAAAGGACATGTGGTCTTCACTTGGTTTTGGATGACTCCCACTCCCCAGTGGTTGCTTTTGCCAAAGAAGGGAGTACAGACAGAGTGCTGGAGGTACCTACAGCTGCTTTGTGAAGCCTACACAGTCTCTTAATGCTTATGCCTTGAGGTAAAGCATTGAATGGCAAGGGAACTGGCACAGGCTGCCCAGGGAGGTTGTGGAGTCTCCTTCTCTGGAGACATTCAAAACCTGCCTGGACGCGTTCCTGTGCGATCTGCTGTAGGTGATCCTGCTCTGGCAGGGGGGGCTGGACTTGATGATCTTTTGAGGTCCCTTCCAACCCCTGACATTCTGTGATTCTGTGAGGTTCACTTACTACCTGGTGCTGCTGGGACTGGATTTAAAGCTTCCCCTCACACAGAGCAGGCCACCAAACGTGGGCACTGACCAGACTAAATGGGCCAACTGGTCTACCTTGACTGCCCTTATGGTCAACAAATAAAGATGGGTTCCCCATAACGCCCAAGGAATGATGTTAACCTCTGTGCTGGTGTGAGGGGAGACAGGAGGGGGCAAACAGTTTGGGTTGGCTGCACTGGGGCAGCAAATCCCTCCTTCCCAGCCAGCCAATACGTACTTCTGCTCTCTAAAGAGCTCTTCAGTTCCTAAACTGGGCTTAGAGCAGTGAATATTTACACTGCCTTCTTTCTTGCAGAATAAGAAGCCCAGGCTGTGCAAAGTCCATCGGATATCAGAAAGATTCAAGCAGATGATAAAAGGCTCTGCAATGGTCCTGAGTTTATGCATAATAGGTGCCAGCCTATAACACAACCAGCAAAATACAGATCTGAAAACCAAAATGAACCTGAACTTAGAAATCTCTGCATTTAATTTCTTTCTCTTTTTTTTAAAAAAATGCCTTTGAAGACAGAGCAGATGAATCTCACCAGGGTTTTTTTTTTTAATGTCTTGTTGAGAACTAATGCATTTCTCCTTATGCCCAGAGGGGTTGTGTCCATGCAGAGGAAAGGCGGAGAGTGGAGTGGTTTTTTTAGGAAGGCTGGTTTCAGCCACAGCTTGTGCACTGCTTGGCAGAGGCAGTATTTGCATTGCTGTCAGGGCCAATAGGAGCCCATTTTCCCACCACATGTCTGGAGAGGAGGAAGAATGATGCAGGCTGACCCCATGAACAGGCAACAGGAGCCAAGAGGGGCTTCCAGGAGTAAGTTCTGCCCGTTCAAACCCTAGATGAGGCATGACTCCAATGCAGAGGTGTTTGGGACTACTCATGGTTCATATTAGGGCAGCTCTACCACCTTCAGGTTCTGCCTGGAGTCCTCGTTGGCTGGACAACCCAGAGAGGTGCTTGGATGGACCAGTCTAGAGTTCAGAGGGTACCAGATCACAAGTTCTTGCAAACCTCAGCCCTCAGAATGCATGAGGTGACTGAGCTCAAGGCTTGCAAACTATCAGGACCCAGTGCTGGTGCCCACAGGGACTCTCCTCATTACCTGCATCCCATAAGTGGATGTGGCCTGTGGAAGGAGATGCCCTGGAGCTCCTAAGAGGGGCTGGGCATGACCAAAATGAGCGAGGACTGGAAGGGAAATGAGATCCTGCAAACTGGAGGCATCCCTCCAAGTCCGTGCCTGGTCCTGGTGGGACACCAGAAGGCAATGAAGGCGGGAAGATTGTGGATGGGTTTTCCTGCTTTGACCCTCCTCCCATTTGGAGGAAGAAGAGGGTTGGAAGGCTCAGGGGCTACCTTACCTGCTGAGGTTTTACACCACCGCTCGCATTTCCACTTGGTTTCGAAGCGGTTGCTGTTCCCTTGGCATCCCCCGAAGATGAAGGGCCGGCAGGCGTTTGCCTCCAGGTGATAATACCAGAGCAGGGCGTAGCGTCGGCAGGAGCCCTCGTCCATCGGCTGCAGGCAAGGGGCTGCAGGGAAACACCACCCCCCACCCACTCAGGTGTTGGACCCAGGTAGGAAAAGGCCACAATCTGCCACCCCGATTCCATCCCTGGACAAATGTGTGGGGCTGGTCCAGGGTGTCCCACTGCCCCACAGTCAGAGAGGGCTGTTAGAGTGAAGGGGACAACAAAGACCAAGCATCTGGCAGTGGATTTTCACAGTGGGATGAGCAGGAGGCTCCTCGACACACCTTGGCACTGTCTACCCCTGTGGCAGTCTCTGACCTTTGCAAGGGGGTGATTAACCCCTGGGTCCCGGCGATGGGGGGATGTTTGCAGGGGTGGTTGCATTTGCGCTGTTGCCTGCATGACTCTCATTGTGCATTTTGCTGGGAGGGGCTGGACCACACTGGACTGGGTGAAAACACCTTCCAGTTTGTCCACCACCAGCTCAATGCCCTGGGGCGAAAGAAGCTGCCCTAAGCCAAGTCCAAAATGGAATTTTGAGCTTCTGTTTGTATAACTCTTTCAGCACCATGTCCCCTTGACCCCAGTGCCAAAAAAGTGATTTCCCCAAATGTCACTTAATTCAACACATTTCACCTGGTAATTGAGTGCGGGCTTCTGGGATCTTGTGCTGAGAGGGACCCATTGTCGGTTGTGCCTGGGGAGCTGCTGGGGAAGCAAATGGAAACCACACGTAACGAGGGCACGCAAACAAATTAGCCACCATTTAAATATAGAACATTGGAGTCTTACATGGCTTTCTGCCGGCTAACAAGTTCTCTTCATAAATGTCACGGAGCAATTGGCGAAGGGGAGGGAGAAAGCGGCGGCAATAAAATTCTTAATGGTGTTAAACAACTCTGTCAGAAAGGTTGGGTGTTAGTCAGGGAAAATGGAAGTATTTGTGGTTGTTTGCAGGAGATAAATGTCAGGCTGGAGTTTTGTAAATCTGCGCTCTCTGAAAAGCCAGGAGCGATTGTAATCTGGCAGTAATAACCCTCCGACTGCAGAATTCTGTTAACATTTGGAGCGCCTATCCGCACCCATCACTTAGCAGAGCGATTTATGAGCCCTCTTGCCTCCGAGCTGGGCTTTAATGGGATTGTTGGCTGGCGACGGCTGCGGCTGGGATTCAATAACATGTGGTACATCCCATCGATCTGAAACCGCCCAGATATGAAGTGAGTTTAAAGCCAGATGGTTGATGCCTTCAACGTAGGACATGGACATCAGGAGAGTGCTTGGAGGTGGGCAGGAGGAAGGCGGTGATGGTTGGAGTGTGGTTCTAGGCTTGGCTGGATTTGAAGGGTTTGTTTGGTCCTTAGTAGGTTACATAGTGGGAAAATGAAGGTCATCATCAAGGGGTTTAAATCACAGAACCACAGAATGGCCAGAATTGGAAGGGACCTTCAAGATACCTAGTTCCAACTCCGCTGCCATGGGCAGGGGCATCTCCCACTAGATCAGGTTGCTCAAAGCTTCATCCAGCCTGGTCTTTAACAATCCCGGGGAGGGAGCATCCACAACTACTCTGGGCAACATGTTCCAGTGTCTCACCACCCTCATACTGGAGAACCTCTTCCTAATGCCTAATCTAAATCTACCCTGCTCTAGTTTAAAACCATTGCCCCTTATCCTATAATCACATGCCCTTATAAAAAGTCCCTCTCCAGCTTTCCTTTTTCTCTGAAATGAAACATTGATGCCATCCCCCCACTTTTGTCCACCCCTGCCATTCGAATCTGGCAGCTCCATCCACTCCATCCTCCTTCTCCTGGTGATAAAACCTGAGCAGCCATGTCTGACTGGTAGCTCTTCTGTGCCAAGGTGACTGTATTGCTCATCAGGTCTGTGAGAACCCGGGCCAAGCATTCCCTCATTGTAATGCTCACTACAGTGGTTCATGGTCAGAAGAAAAGGTAGATGATCTGAAATGCAGCTATAACTGCCCCACTCTGTCCTCTCCTTGGAAAGATGGCCATTCTCAGCCAGGCATTAATGGATTTCCCTATATCCACCAGGCTCATCTCCCAGGTTTCCCACAAGGACACTGCATCCCAGTGCATCCCAAAGGTGGTCCTGGAGCCTCCTGGGGAACCAACTCATTGTCTGTACCTAGAGAATGGGCCACGAACCTCCCGTGGGCAAGTAGCAGGACATAGTTCACCTCCCTATGGCCAAGCAGCCTTCATCCTCAAAAATGATGGTTGCATCTCGGCTGTCTGGTGCTGCTCGGGATCCTACTGGGAGCTTGATAATACCTAAAAGCATGGCCAGTCTGGGATCATGATCTTCCCCCTTCCAGTTGCCTGATGTAGAGGTAGATGCAGTGTGAGGAGATGCCACAAACTCACTGGTATTTTTGTACAGGTAGGTCTGTATTGCATGTGTCTGCAGGACAGGACCTTCTCTTTCCCCCTCTCTCTTGGGTAACACAGAGACAGAAGTAGGTTGTCTTCCCATTAGCTGTAATCAGTAGTTTTACACATTAAAGGGTTCATGAGGCCCTGGGCAGGAATTGTCTGTAATAGCTCGAGTGTTTGGTCTCGGAGATGTAATTTCTGGCTGTTAGGAAGCTTTACTAGAGGTTGCAAAGAATGTGGTGGGGAAAGTGGGAGAAAATCAGCCTGAAAACATCTGCCTCGTTCCAGCCTTTCAAAATGTGTCTTTTTGAAGGTGGCGATAATCACTGAAACCACATATTTGTTTTTTCCCTCACCCACTACCCCTTTCAGTGGCAGCAGGTCACCTCGTCTCCACGGAAACCCTTTTCAGCACAGAGGAATCTCAGCATTGGAAATCCCATCACTGTCTGCCTTCTGCCCAGTCCCAGGGAAGAGGATTTAGCCCTGGCTTCAAGGAATGCTCCAGAAGATACCGGCTGCCATGGTTGGAAAGATAGAAAGCATGCACCCACACAGTTGCACTTACCTGCTATAAGTGAAGGTGGCTTCATGAGGGGCTTTGCCAAAGTCACCAACGTGGTCACGCTCTGAGTTTTGTTAAGCATTTCTTCCTGGTTTTCACTGTCCCTTCCAGTGTGTTCCCAAGACTGAAAATACCCTTGGAGCTGCCTGTTGACTTCAGCTGCCTCCAGACCTGTGGATTTAATTTCTGGGTCAGCGAGGGTGAAATCTGGTGCCACGGTTTGAAAGCCACCATGCTTCAACAAATGATTGTAGCTCAATAAAATTACTGCTACTGCACAACGCAGCGTGGGAGACAAGTCACAACGTTTCAGTGGATGAAGCATACAGACCACCGGGGCATGTGGTCAAGGTAGGAAACCTACTTCCAGATGACGTATGCTCTAGAAAAGGACAAGAAATTAAGGAGAGATTGTAACATCTACTATCTACTCAAGGAAGGAAGCAGGGGATACGCTAAACTTATTCTGAGTAAAAGTTGGTTTTGAGGAAGTGGTTCCCAAGGAGTGTGGATTCTCACTTCTTGGTGGAAGCTGGGCTTCCTTGGGACCTTTGGGACTGAATGGACAGTGTCAGTTGGGATAGAGTCATAATCAAAGCTACATGGAAAATTAAATGCTGATGGATCAGCCTCTCCCTGAGATATGTCCCTTGATGTGCTGAGCGCTGCCAGACTTCTCAGGTAAGACTTGTTGACTAAAAGGCTGAGAACCACAAAAAGAGTTTAACAGATATGTCTGGATACATGTGATGCTGTGGCTCCATCATCCTTCATACTGGGTTTGTCTGATGCCCGGTGCCTTGAGGGAAAATTGTGATATGGACCAAGCTGGCAGATGCATTAGTGAAGCAGATATTTTAGGAGTTCTGGTTTTATGGTGGATGTACATAGGTTTCAGGTAGAGGACAGGAGATCTGGTGGAACCTGGCTGTGCAAAGCTAACCCAGAAACCTGTTTCAAAGTGATGTGGACCAGCACACTGAATCCATCCCAGATTAATGCTCCGTGGTGTGTCCACTGGGGCTTTGATCCAGCTTTGCATTCCTTTGCTAACTTACTGTTTTCTCAAAATGATGCTCTGAGCATGAGGGATGGAGAGGACCATATGCTCCTGGTTGAAGGATCAACCAGCCAGGTAACAGGTAGGTTCCCTGGGTAACACATGAGTCATGAAGGCAAAACATTTCAACGAGGGTCGTCCTTTGCAGGGGCATGGAGGCTGCCGTGTCCTAGAAAATTCACTGTGCTGGATTCATTTACTCTGGTTTATTAATACTACAGGAGCAAATGGAAGCTGGGGCAAGGGCAGGATCCCAGGTATGGAACCATGGATAGACATCAGGGAGAGAAGATCTCCAACCTGGCAGATTTGCTTTCTAAACACAGAGTGGGAGAGGAAACAGCCCAGTAAGGAGTATCTCATGTTTAGCATAATTGGGAATATTCCACACGAAGAGAGTTCCCAGGCACCTACGACTGTACTGCCTTCTTACGTCCAGGGCAAGGACACTGTTTCTTGAACTTTTTCTCTGTTTAGGAAGTCCTTGCTTTATAAAGTGCTCTCCTTTTGTACACTATGAAACAATGTGTTATGAAGGCTTAAAAAAAAAAAAACATTAACCCCACAACGTAGCAGTTATGAAGGAAAAATTAAAGCAAATCCATTCCTGGAGAACATGAATTCACTGTGATTTAGAGACAAATTGCTGCTCTGAAGTTCCTCTTTTGCTTGAAATGTTCAAAACAAGATGAGAAGCCCTTCCCAGGTCTAATGATGACCTTGAAGCGTAGTCAGAGACATTCAGGTTACATGAGATGTCCTAGGGCAACCAAGGCATCAAAGCTGGGTTGATGGATGTGGCACAGGCCTATGAGACAGCTGTGACCACAGAGAGGATCCAGCAGGATGCACAATCTGGCTCATATACGGACAATTAGATCAACATCCAGGGATGAGTGTGAGATCCAGAGAAGGAAACTTTCCTCAAGGTGCTTTCCTGTGAGCTGAGCATCCAGTTTTGGTGTCCCCACCATAAGAGGGACATGGATCTGTTGGAGCGTGTTCAGAGGAGGCCACAAAGATGATCCAGGGGCTGGAGCACCTCTGCTACGAGGACAGGCTGAGGGAGCTGGGGTTGTTCAGTCTTCAAAAGAGAAGATTTTACGGGGACCTAATAGCTGCCTTCCAACACCTGAAGGGAACGTACAGGAAGGCTGGGGAGGGACTTTTTACAAGAGTGTCCACTGATAGGATAAGGGGAAATGGGGTTAAGTTGAAGGAGAATAGATTTAGTTTGGACCTTAGGAAGAAATTCTTCAGTACGAGTGCGGCAAGACTTTGGAATAAATTGCCCAGAGATGTTGTGGCTGCCCCCTCCCTGAAGGTGTTCAAGGCCAAGTTGGACGGAGTCTTGAGCAGCCTGATCTAGTTGAGAGGCGTCCCTGCCCATGACAGGGAGGTTGGATGAGATAATCTCTAAGGTCCCTTCCAGACTAGGCCATTCTAAGATTCTGTGATTCAAAACCTACCATGGCCAGCTGGGATCTAGAACCTGAGATCCAGAATCTGGTTCAGTATCAGAAAAAACAGACCCCGAATCACTTGTAGAAAAAGACATGGAGGAACCAACTCCTCTCTGAAGGACAGAGGATGAGACCTTGGCAGAATGTTTGGGTCTACCTTGAGGTTGACAGATTGGCCGTCCAGACTCTGGACCATATGGATTAGATCTCCACAACAGGAGATGAAATGAGATTAAATGATGAAATCTGCACTGTAAGCATCTCACTGGAGCTTATCGTGTTGACGGTTTGGGTGGAGCAACAGGATTTGGTTTGTGGGCAGGGAGAGGTGTTCCTGTGGTGCAGCTTTTAGAGCTGGGTGTCAGGAATAGCTTGCAGTAAAGGGTGGAAGGAGGAGACCTCTTGGTGTCCCTCTCAACCCTGTTTTACCAGACTCCTCTCAAGAAATACACGTCCCCTAGTCAAGGTCTAAAAGCAGTTGGTGATCCAAGATCATTTTCTGCACGAATCACAGGAAAAAAAGCACTTATTCTCAACAACACCTTTTCACTTGCAGTTTAAAGCTGTTTTGGGCCAAGGAGAACATCCTTTACTGCATGAATTCACATGTGTTTTTACATAGATATTAGCAGCCTTACCTCTTTCTGTGATCATCCTTCCCAACTCGGCGCCGCAATCTGAGAACATAAGACAAACAGCACATAGTTTGCTTGCTACTTCTTTTTTTTTTCCACGATGTAAATAAGGTTTTTCAACAAAATCTTTTATTTTTTTATGGGTTGCATATGGTTTCATGGAATATTTTGCATCTTTTTTCTTTTTTCCCCCTCCGCAGAGCATTCAAATATCCCCTAACATCTCTCGGGAGAAGCGACTGCAACTCCACCTCAATAGCTAAAGCATCTTGGCCAGTGGTGGTGACCTCTCAGCTGTGGACAGACCCCAGGGTGTGAGGCAGGAGTGGGGCAGCTCTTTGCTGGACCTTTGCAGGGCAAGGAAAGCCACATCCCAAAAGCCTGACACCCTTGTGATGTCAGGATTCTGGGGTAAAACCACCCAAACTGAGTGTTTTTTCTTACTGTTATGGGGCTGGTTGGAAGTTAATCACTGCTGGAGAGGAGAGATCTATGCACCAAATGAGGATTAAAAGGTTGTTATTAAGCAAAACACAGCTCCAAAGTTTCCCCCGTCACCCAGCACCTTTCACCAATCAGCAGGGAAATGGAGATGACCAGGCAGGAAAGCTTCACTGACAGAATCACGGGGGAAGAAACAGGAAAAGAGAAGGTTTAAAGGGGAAAAAATTAAGAGTTTGAGTAGGAGGTCAGGACTATGGTCGAGACCTCGCAGCCCAGAAGGCCACACTCGTCTCCAAGCATGGCGAGGCGACGCATCTCCACTTGCTGCTAATAGGGTGATATTTGCTCTGCCGAGCCAGTGTGTGACAGCGCTCAAATTGCTCCAATTTAGTTGCTGGCAAATGTCAGAGCAGTGGCCCCGAGAGCGGCTCGCCATCCGACTTACCGCATCTGCCTCTCACTTCGCTCCTCACCACCTCCTTCACCTCCTCCTCCTGTGCCGCAGGGACAAAACAGAGATTGGCAGTGATTTTCTACCCCGGCGCCAACTCACTCCACTCTATGCCCCATCCCAAGGCTGCCTGCCTACCCGGAGGTGAAACCACCTCAGCTTGGGTATGGCCGAGAGTGAAGAGGAGGATTTGGCATCACAGGGACCTCAATTCAAGATTTGTGGCTGATGGGGACACGGTTCTTTCTCCTGCTCCTTCTTTGTATTTGATCAGCCCTGAGGCATTGGTACTGGGGTAAACTGACCCTGGGGTAAACTGAGTGTTTTTTTCTTACTGTTATGGCTCTAGTTGGAAGTTAATCACTGCTGGAGATCCCAGCTCCTTGTGGCAAGAGGAGCTGGCTACAGGGTGACCATGAATTTGCAAAGGGAATCATTTTCCCCATGGCACACTTCAAGTTCGCGTTGGCTTTTGAATGAGTCTCCTCACCCTTTTGGCACTGTCCCTGAAGTCATGGTCTTTCAGATGTCCCTGACCTCTGAGAAGCTTCATCAAGTCACCCTCATCCCTGCAAACGGGCTACTCAAATTGACTACAGGCTTGACCCATGGAAATGTGCTGTAGAACATTAGATGAGATGCAGCCTCACCTCATTTTGTTCTTCTCTGCCTCTTTACCAGCTAACACTGTTCCCCACAGAACGAGACAGCTGGTCTCGTGGATTTTGAGTCTATTCTTCACCCTTAGGTCAACCAAGTGCTGCTGTTTCAGTTGAGCATCTTCCACATGTGATGGCTGGGGTCCTGCTGCGCTCCAGGTGGTCACCATCTCATGTCCTTTGTACGCATGACAAATTTTTGGGCATTTTCTATGTAGGGAACTGGGCTTTTCAGCAGCCTTGCCCGTGACACCCATTGTAAAACTAACCCTGCCTGTCCTCCACACACCAGAAAGATGCAAATACTGCGTTGTATCAGTCAAATGTCACAAACCACATTTGCTCAGGCAACAGAGTGGTGATCCTCACGTTAGGGGAGCTGCAACAGTGGGTCAAACACTCCTTCTTTTCAGGATTTATAAACCCAGAGCAGCAGGTTTTGCAGTAATCCCAGGTTTTGCAGTAATCCCTAATTGCTTTGAAAACGGGACACGGTTCTTTCTCCTGCTCCTTCTTTGTATTTGATCAGCCCTGAGGCATTGGCACTGGTCCTATCTGTCAAGCACCAGTTTGAAGCATCTTGGGGAGGATGGGAGAGGGGAAATGTGCCTCGGGCACAGCCCAACACTGCTCCCACCCCAGCGTGTGCACATCTGACGTCTCTGGGTAATGGCCAACACTCTCATTTCCCAGATATTCTCTGAATGAATCTGTTTCTCAGCATTTCCCTCCTCCCCTACACCTCTTAGGGGCAGTTTGTCCTATTTTCTCTATTCAGGTCTGTGTAATAGGATGTGATCTTGGTCTAAAGTACTCACAGAAAGGCCAGGATCTCCTTTTTCTCCTTTTTGGCCAGTCGGACCATTTTCACCCTGTTAAAAACACTTAAGTCATTACAAAAGTTCAGTAGATTGACCATTAAATGCTCGGAGAGTAAGTGCACCTTAGAGAGGAAAGGATATGCTAGGAAGGGAGATGGGGAAAAAACACTCACATGTCTTCCTATAAATTTTAGGGATATCTGTGAGTAGCTCACTGAGCAGGAAGGAATGGACTCATCAAGGAAGCAAGAACAAATGTATGTATCAGAGGGAGCCGGGTGCAGGCTCACAGATTTTCTGGGAGCTCTGCTCCATCCAAACGATAAGGATGTTAACAGCTACAGTGTAAATCAGTTTTCTTTGCAATTTGTAAGGGACCACAAAGGCTGAGGTGGAGGTGTGGAGAAGATCTGGCCTCCAGAGGATCTCTGGGAAGCAGACCAGGCAGAAGATTGCAACTGGGACTGCGATCCCAGTGCTGAAAAGACGAAACATCAGGAGATGCTGAGGTTTGCCGACAGGGCTTTCTGCCTCCTAGGAGAAAATACCTTGAATAATTTTCCACTCAAAACTGGTGAAAACTGTATTCGTTGATTAAAAATACTTAAAAAGAAACTGCATCACCCTCCACCATCACATGGAGTTAATGCAATGCCACCTCCTGATGCAAAAAATGCCCTTGGGTTGGTTTTGCAGGACCTACAGCGTGTAGGGACTGCCCAGGAGCATGGATTGCAAGTTGAGATCTTAACATTGAGTTCTTGTTTATAGTCTCTGATGTGCATTAAAAGGCTGAGCTGAAGTATCATACTGACTATTGTTTTACTCCTGGCCTGCCATGGCAAGCACAGTTGAGGATGTGCTGGCCCAAAATATATGATGTTTTCCCAAAGAATTTTGATAGAGAACAACTGGCAGCCCACAGGGCTCACAGCATTTGTCCCAGCTGACGATACCTCCAGGCAGAAGAGGCAGGCAGCATTGCCCGAGTCCGATGCGGGGTGACTGGGAGTGAAATGCTTTCTGTTGCAGAATTTGCAGAGCTGAGAAATGCAACCTAGAACAGTCAAGGTTCATCCAGCTCCTGCTGCGAGGTGGGGAGGAACCTTGCTGGGAATGGAGCCTGGCTCATCCCCGTACTGACCATTTCTCCTTTTTGCCCATCCATTCCTGGGGATCCCCTGAGGCAAAGCTGAGGTCTCCCTCTTTTCCCTCGTGGACCCTAGAGAGGAAGAGGAGAGTTCAGTTAGCAGAGAGATATGCCACACCACCGGTTGGGGATTTTCCCCTAAAGCCCAGCCTGGGCATCAGTAGGAGAAGATGTTCAGAGCTCTCTGGATCTCAGATGCTCCCCAAACAGGTCAGATGTGATGGGTCAAGTCCCTGGGCTTTGGCTCCTCTGCCTTGGACAACCACGAGATGTTTCCTGTGGTCCCTCCCTGCAGAAAGGATGGATGCTGCAGGGGCAGAAAGCATTTTTCTCTCTCTGACACTGTCTGTCCTGGCGCTAATTTAAGAAATGGAGTCTCAGCAGGAGGAGAAGGACTTGCAGACGGAGATAATACCCTCCCACATTAGGAATGAGGCTGGCTTCACTGCTGCTATTCAGACCCAGGGACTTTCTCTTTTAATTTAGGGAAAAGACAAGTAGCAGTGTGGGTGTAGAAAGCGGCATCTCATGGTCTCTCTTTAATCAGTGTCCAAACAAAAGCCATTCATTATCTTACACACGGCTCCCTGAACATGTGGCGCTTGTAACAGCTAATACAAAAACTTCCAGCCTTTTTAAACATACATGAAGGGATCTTGTACTTTTGGCTCCTTCCACCCTTCCCTGTGTCTTTTGATACATTTTTCATTGCAAGGTACACCGTGGCAAGCAAGGGAAAGAATAATAATGCTGCTGGGGTCTGAAGCTGCATCTAGGCCATTTTTTGTTGTTCTGGAAGGGTCTTTCTATACCTGCATCCCTTTAGGGGGAGGCTTGGGGGTCCTTCCTATGAGCACCCTGTCAGTGGTGAAGGGCTGTGGGATTCAGCTGTAGCTATAGGCTGCTGAACGATGTTGGAGACCCACAGCATCCTCTGTGCCCTTGCACCTTGGACCAGATTGCTCTAGGTCAAGGTTTTATTTGATGGTGTCTCAGATGTTCAGTTTGACCATCAGTGCAACGTGGACCTTGCTGCATCACCTGCATTTTCCTTTCCTTAACCACTTCTTCCCTAAGACTTAAATGCCAGTGTCGGGCATTATTTGTATTGTGGCTCCAAAGAACAGGGTATAGGCTTTCCCAACATGTGATGCTCTTCTCTGTATGGGGGAAAACCGGGCTAAAACTCAACAAAGTCTACAAAGACACCTTTATACCCCCAAAGTCAGAAGTTCTGCAAGCAGCTTGAGGACAGGGACACCTCCGAGACTCAGGAGAGCTGATCTAATGAGGTCCAGGCTCATTCAGACTTTCACACAAAATTGGGTCTGAATTGTCTTGACTTCGATCCTCAAAAGCCAAAGCAATTTTCACCGGTGTGTCTTTACCAGCATATTTCTGATCTGTCAGATGCAGCTACACACCGGCTAAATTCTCCATGCTATTTGATGTGAAGGATAACCACTGAGTTTGGATCATTTGGCTGAAATAATTCAGCAGAGCATAATGTGTTAAGGAGGAAAATCCTGCTAGAGTCTTTACTTCCTTCCCTTGTTTTCAAAGCAGCAGTATAATATAATTCCCATTTAGCAGGAAACAAACAAACCAGGAAACTCAAATAAACCACGAAGCAGCAGTATAATATAATTCCCATTTAGCAGGAAACTCAAACAAACCATATGTTTGTGTACACGAAATTTCTACACGCACCTGATGATTAAATCCTTACACTTACTTACATAGGGATGTAACACTCGAGGGTGAAACACCAAATATCTGCCAGACTCACAGGCTGGCAGGAGTTAAATCAAGGCTGCCCCTCAGACAGCTTGTGGATACATTCAGGGAAAAATTCCAGGTCTGTTTGGATGGAGCTCTGAGCAATCTGATTTAGTTAAAGATGCCCTTGCTCACAGCAGAGGGGTTGGACTAGATGTCCTTTAATGATCTCTTCTAACCTAAACCATTCTGTGTTTCTAAGATTCTATAACAGTTGGTCTTTCAGGAAGTTACTCAACTCCAGCTTTTAATTTTTTTCTCAGCTTTTTCACATTATTTTACGTATTCTCTTGTCCAAGCCTGAAACTCAAGCGGTCCCACCAGCACAACGGAGAAGAGTCTTTTCATTTCCAGTCCTCTTCGACTTGAAAACTTCTTCGTTACTTAATGGATGCTGTCTAAGGGCTAGTGATGAGCATTAATCTCTAGCATCGTCCCTCCACATTGTGTTGGCAGCAGCAAGACACTCTTCATTACCATAGAATCTGGGGGCAGCGTGTTCCTGCTCATAAACAGTATTAGCATGTCTCATTTCCAAGTCTTTTTGTTACATTTCAAAAGGTGCCCAGCATGTCTTGCATGCAAAAACACTTATTAAGTACGGCCCACAAATGGGGTCTGAGAGCCACCAGCTCCTTCCGAAACCTTGGCTTCCTGCTCCCCAGATAATTAGCAACTGGAGGGGTGCACTTCATGCCCTGCTAACTTGAAATTACCAGACTTCCTTTCTTTACTGAGAGGTCACATCTTGCAGTGAAGATAGGAAAGGAAGAGAGGAAAAGGAAAAAAAAAATAATCTCCTGTGATAAATGCACCAAGAGGTGAAGTGAGTTAACTGAGATCCCACAGAAAGACAGCAGACTTTGCAGCCATCTCAACGTGGGAGCCCTCAGGCGTCAGCTTTAAGGAGTGGGGGGAGATGTAAGTGTGCATGGTGACATGTGGGGACACATTGGGACCGCTGAGGATGGAAGGTGCACCTCTCACCAGGGTTCAGGGCACGGTACAGACCACCTGCTGCTCACCTGTGGCCCCGGTTCACCCTGTGGCCCTTGAGGTCCATCTGCTCCAGCGACTCCAGTCTTCCCAGGCCATCCCATTTGTCCTTTGAAGCCTCCCAAGCCAGGAACTCCCTTGTTTCCCTGAGAATCACCAACAGAGCAGTTCAAGCACAGGTGGGTTTAGAGATGGGCCAGACAAACGTTACCCAGATACCTTCACATCGCTGATTGTAAGGGGAGACCATTTACATTCTACTTTGTCTCCTGTCGTGCTATTAAAAGCATCAACAGGATGGCAGAGATCATTTTAACTTTACTCTCCTCCACCTTTACTTGTCCAGAGGGCACCTCACTCCTTGGTGACATGGACACCCCTTCTCTGGGACATTGCCCAATAATTTCTAATCCTCAACTCTCCCTGCATATGTAAGCAGAGTCCTTTAGTTTATAAACTTGGAAAAAAACCCAAAACAATGACTCCTGAAGAGGAGAGTGGAAGTTGCCAAGACTTGGCACATAAATTTCCTACTCATCTGCACCACTGAGCTTTCTCCTGGAGCTGCTGTGACTCCATCAAACATAGCAGAAGGAAATACCCAACACCCAACCTTCAGCAGTAGCTGAAAGGAGATGTTTGTGGGTGAGGAGAAGAACAGGAGAGGAAGGGAGTGATATTTCCCCAGAAACAATCTCCCAGCCTCCAATCACTAGCAGACCAGGGACTAAGTGACCCAGAGCTGTTGCTTGGCAAGAGAAGAACCCTTAATGTTCAACACTGGTGGCCATCAAGGCATGAGGACCAAAAGAGTTGTTATCAATAAAAACAAGAAATTCCTCAAGAACTCAAATCATTTGGACACAAGACGGTGAGCTGAATGCGAGAAGGGCCTGAGGGGCTGGAAAATGCCAAAAGACCTGATGGATGCTGCTGGGATTATCATGTGATTTTATTTTCTTTCAAAACAGCTACTGGTTTAACCAAAGCTCCTTTTTTTATCCTTTGTGGAAAGGTACAAATTTTAGATTTGTTCTTTTAGGGAAGAAAATGGAAAATTAAGCAATGCAGAGAAGGAAGGTCACTGGGGAGTGAGAGCCTGGGAGCAACTTGAAGATCTTTCCCACTTCCACGTCCGATGTGCCCAGGAGATAACAGCATTATTCACTTTTTCTGCCCCACAACATCCCAGGCATCTTTCACCCTGGACATGGTTGTATTAAATAAACTCTGACAATGAATCCCACTCCAAGGGTTTGTATGGCTTTTCCTCATACTAAACAGGCACCCTGCTGGGGTGGCAGAAGGTGAATTTAAGGAGACCTTCCTCTCCTGCCCTTTCCAACTGCAGTCCCAGCCTTAATGCTCCAGACAGTTGACATTTGCCCACTGGAAAGGGTACCTATGATGTAGAAAGTGTATAATTTTGTTAACTGGACCTGATGGATGTGGGATTTATTCTTTTATAAATGGCAGCTCGGTGCAGTCCGGAGAGTACTAACCTTTTCTCCTTTCTCCCCAGGCACCCCCGAGGCACCATCGTCCCCTGATGCTCCCTGTTCACCCTGGAAGGAGCCAAGATAAAATCATGGCCAGTGTAGACTTGGCAAGATTGCCATTTGCTGAACAAATCATTTTTTCATCAGATTAAAATGTTATTTACTGAGTGTAACCTGTCAGCATCTTTCAGCCTGGTGGTACTCAAAGAGACTGAAAGAAATCTCATTAAAAAGCTCCTTGACTTGACACGTGCAATAGAGCCTGTGGAGCATCAGGGCTGCGGTGGATGAACCCAGATGAGCCTTGCAGAGGTGAATGAAGGGGTCCCTCCCCCAGTGTACAAGCATTTTCACCCAGTTCTCTGCTGGTTTATAGGTACATATTCAGAATAATACCATGTGAACTCTTTGAAAGAAATAAGTATGTTGCAGAGGTGGATTTGCAACACATGCAAAGCTTTTGGGAAATGTCTTACTCGTAGACAGATGCATAATTTAGATCCTCACCTTTGGTCCATGTGGTCCATCCAATCCTGGGATCCCTGGTTTTCCAGGACTTCCAGTTTCTCCCTGTGGATGAAAAAAAACCCCAACAGTGGATGGGCTTTAAGCACAAATAACTGCTAAAACATTGGGGGAACTGGCTCCAAAAAAGCAAGGTAAGTGAGGGGAACCTGAGAGGAGAACATGATGACACTCCTGGTAACAGAAAGCCTAAGTATAAGTAAAGTCTTTCTTCAGACCAGTGTAAATTTTAGACTGTCCTGACTCCAAGCCCGCCCACACGAAAGCAGGTGGGAAATTCACTGAGCAGTACTTCATTTACCCAATAGGCCATGGCTGATAAAAGAAAATATTAAGAGCAACAATAATAATAACAACATATCCCATTGGCTCAGCTATCAACAGCTCCCTTACTTCTTACTGAGCTTTTCAAAACGCTTCATAAAAAGAACATTAAAGGACATTATCCCTGTTTGTAGAGGAAGGACTAACGGCGCTGGCAGGTGGAACAATGCGCCCAGCAGTAATTGCAAATTGAGTCCAGGCAGTTGCTAAGCCACAGACCAGAAGGAGATTTGGGCAAGGCCTGTTATTTCTTATTTTCACCCTGAGATTATCAAGAAGTTCCCTGCAAGTTTTAAAATCTCCCTATCCATGGCTCCCTGTTCTGCATGGCCATGTCCCACCGTGTGCAGACCGGTGGTACCAAGAAGGACTTCTCCTGCCAGAGTTAGGGTGTCTTCTTCATGCACAATGTTACCCTGGGGTTGGGTGGGAAACTGCTGGAAACTGGGCAGCTAGAGCAGGATGGAAAGCTGGGTTTAGCTCACCTTGATTCCTTTGGCTCCTGGAGAGCCGGTGCGTCCTGGAAGCCCTCGTAAGCCCTGAGGATAAAGCAGATCAGAGATGGTCATGGTAAATCAAGGGGAGGGCAGCAGGGAGGAACTCTGCCTGTGCACAGGGCTAACCCCAAGCTAGTGCTGCAAGCTCTTCCCTTGGTCACAGCATCCTTTCCCATTGGCCTCACCACAGCCTGGAGCCTGAGCTCTCTTCTCTGGTTGTCCCAACGTTTATTTCACAGAATCACGGAGTGGTGGAGGTTGGAAGGGAGCTCTGGAGGACATCTTAGACTCGTAGAATCATAGAGTCATATTGATTGGAAAAGATCTTTAAGATAATTGAGTCCAACCATTAACCTAATAACGCCAAGCCCACATCTACTCGGCTTTTAAATCCCTCCCGCAGCAGGGACTCCACCCCTGCCCTGGGCAGCCTGTGCCAGGGCTTCACAAGCCTTTCGAGAAGAAATTTTTCCTAGTACCCAATCTAAACCTCCCCATGAGCAACTTGAGCCCATCTCCTCTTGTCCTATCACTTGTTCCTTGGGAGAAGAGACCAACTCGCCCTGGCTACCCCCTCCTGTCAGGGAGCTGCAGAGAGCGAGAAGGTCTCCCCTCAGCCTCCTCTGCGCCAGCTGAACAGGCCCAGCTCCCTCAGCTGCTCCCATCACATTTGGTCTCCAGACCCTTCCCCAGCTCTGTTGCCCTTCTCAGGACACGCTCCAGCCCCTCAAGGTCTTTCTTGTTGGGAGAGGCCTAAACCAAGCACAGGGTTTGAGGTGCGACCTCACCAGTGCCGAGCCCAGGGGGACAATCCCTGCCCTGGTCCTGCTGGTCACACCAGGGCTGATCCAGGCCAGGATGCCGTTGGCCTTCTTGACCACCAGGGCACACTGAAGACTCATCTTCAGCTACTGCTGACCAACACCCCCAGATATTTTTCTGCCAGCTTGTCTAACTCTTCTGCTCAAGCAGGGCCACCTAAAACTGTTTGACCAGGACCATGTTCAGACAGCTTTTGATTATCTCCACCCATCTCTTACCTTTGTTCCTTTCTGCCCCATGTCCCCAGTGGTCCCAGGATCACCTTTCCCTCCCTACATAAAAAGAAAACAAAACCAAAAATATCACACATGCCCTGAAAGGTAAAGAATAGAGCCCTGGTGATATCATCACCTTGCATTTATATTGTTCTTTTAATTACTGGAGGCTCCTTGAAAATCTGCAGCTCATGGTCACCTTGTTGCTAGAAATGCAGCCAGCTTTGGGGTGGGATAGGGCAAGAACTTGCAGAAGATGGGTGACTGTGACATTGCTGCTGGTGAAGTGGGATAAAATGCTGTGACGTGTCACCATAGGGTCTGTATCTTATGCTGGACAACTTTGGGAAAAGGACCCTTGAGGACCATTGTGTTGGAGTGAATGTTACTGAGGTTTGGGAGCTAACGGAGTGTCAAAACAGTCATAAGGACCTGCGCCATGGAAGTGTTAGATAATGTCCCTCAGCTCTTTTGTTGGTCATTGCCTCTGAAAATTGAGTCAAAGTCTGTATCTCTGGCACCATCTGAACAATCTGGAGTATGTTCATTAATTTCAGTGAGGGCTTCCTTTCCGTCTCCTTTCCAAGATCTATTTTTTTTAATTTTTTTTTTCTCTAATGGGAAAACACAAGAGAAAAACCACCAGCAGATTTCAACTTGTTTCCAGAAATTAAAGTGAAGGTGTGTTCCCACCAAGTGTCACTCTGGAGATGTGTTTTCAGCAATAAGGGGCTGAAGTCCCATCCACATTCAGGAACTTATTTGGTTGTAAGGGAGGCATCATGTCATGACAGAGAACCAGGTCATCCCAGGAAGGAGAGAGTTCCATAAGGATTTTAGCAAATGATTACTTTGTTCCCTGCTCTCTCCATCAGGCGTCATCGAGTACAACTGGACTTCCTGCATGACAGAACTTGATATTTGGGCCTTGGTAAGTAACAAAGGAAAACTCGTACTGAAAAACATGGGAAAATTTAGAAGTCTGTTGCCAGAGACACGGACATGTTCTCTGCTGGCATCCAGAGAATGGCTCCTCCTAAAAATCAGGTCAGGATGTGCATTGGAGACTTCTCCAGGAGGTTTAGGGAGTGATTTCATCTCTTTTTTTGGAAAGACTCACCCCAAACACAAACCTGACTGCAGCAATGAGGCATGTAGGGTGTGGGATGAGAAACAATCTTGGGGTCAAGAAAGTCACAGAACCTCCTTCTGCCAGCCAAATGGACCGTGGCCTTCCTGCTACTCACCGGCTTCCCGTTCTGCCCCTGAAGACCTCTGTCGCCTTTGACTCCCTTGTTTCCATCCTTCCCATTGAGACCTGCCACACCCTGTGCCAGAAAGAGGAGGAAAATTAATTTCTGTGTCAGCTCTTGCAGGGAAGGTGGCTGAGGACAGTCACCGGGATGGAAACTCAGCTGTGAAAACCCAGGTTGCAGGATCCTGCAGTTGGAGGTCAGAAGCTACCCTAGTAGCAGCCAAGATCCGAGGCTGGGATTTAGCACTTGGGCCAAGAAAAGTCAGGTGGTGATGGTTTTGGTTGAGAATGGGAGCAAAGGTGTTAAGCAGGCAGCATCACGCTGAGAGGGACTTAGAAGTGTGCACACAATCCTGGGAACTGGGTCTGCAGCTTCAGGACGGCAGAGCTGGGTGATGAAATCAGGGTCAGTGAATGAGCGGATCCAGCCATGGGATTGCTCACAGCTGCAGATCCATCTGAAGAACTGAGAGACAAAAGTGAGGTCCTCATCCAGCCTAGGCTTGTGGGCTACGCTGGACAGAGGTGCTCCTCTGAGAAGACATCTTTTTTTGACACATTTTGGATGTTCTTGGCTTATGGAGCCACTTTGCAGCTCAACGTGCAGCTCACCAGCATTGAGGCCTCTTTACATGGAATCTCTCAGTATTCCAGTAGCAAAAGCTACTGGAAATTCTGGTTGTTTTTTTTTTTATTTTTTTTCCCAAGGTTGCCACAATCTACTCATCCATTCTGGCCAGTTTTGAGAACCTGGATGAGAGATAGAATTGGCTTTATCCCCACTTGTGATGCTGATAGCACAGGGCTCAGCTCACTCAGAGGAGAATGACTTTGCTGTTTAAGCAGATTCAGACGAACTAGTGGCATTCTCTACTTGGAATTAATTTGCCGTAGGATGTTGAAAGTAAATGCATTTATTAAAAAACAAATAAAAATGGGCCACCAGATTTGTAGGCCAAGTAATACTCATCATCTCTCTAATTACTCCTCCTCTCAGTGATGGAGACTTTTATAGCAATCACGGTGACAAGCAAATGTTCCAGAGACAGACAATGGGACGCTGCTGTCCCAGACAGTGGGTCAGACTGCAAGGGTGGACCCATTCACTTTTACCAGATATTCCCTTTTTTCCTAGATATAAAAATTCAGCTTCCTCTCTGGGGAACGTGTTGCTTCTTCAAACCTCTCCCCAAGCCTCGGCACATTTTACATTGGAGAGTACGAGGAGTATTTGAGAGCTGAGCAGGTGCTCCTCTGTAGCTCTTCAGGTCATGTCTGCATCAGGTAAAGTCCACCTTCCTCAAGCACTGCCTACCCTGTCAGGTTCAAACATCTTGTGTAAGCTCTTTATTGACTGGTAACTATTTATTGACAAGATTACAATAAAAAGTTCTATTTGAGGAAGTAAATGGCCCATAAAACACCCCAGCTAACTGTTTGCTAGGACAGATTGCTTGCTTGGAGGGTAATAAACCTTTTAGTTTGATGGCGAAATCTCACAGGACCAGGCACGAAGGGCATGGTGTGTTTGAGATAGCTTTGAACAGACCCCTCTGGCCAGGGATTTACACACCTGTATCCAAGGGGACAGGCTGAAAAGCTTATTCTTGAGCGCTGCCTATCTCTAACACGAGTTAGAGATTCTTCAGTCAGCTCTAGTATTTCTCTTAGTTCTCCCTAGTGCCTCCTGTGTCAAAGAGGGACCTTTCCTTGTTTTCCTGTGCTTCCTCACCTGATCGTGTCCAACTCCCATTTATTCCGTCTGCCTTAGATCATGAGATGCTTGATCTGAAAGGAGCCCAGAGGGCTCTAGGAAGACTTAAGCTCACAATATGTTCTGGTAGGCTGGATCTAAGCCATGCCTAGTAAACATTAAGCAGATTTTTGACCTGGGCATTATCTCACCATAGGTGGGCTCCTATTCATCATGGGATGAAGAATCTTTGTCATATGGACTAGAAGGTTTACAATAAGGCTTGGACATGACAGGAGGTCTGTCACTGCTTCAGCTGGAGCAGGGAAACAGATCAGAGGGGTGATGCTTTTCAAGATTCCAGGACAAGAAAAAGACAGGGTGGAGGGAAGAAAAGAGGAAGAAGAAATAATCTGAACACTAAGCAAGGGAAAGAAGCTGAATGGAAATCTGTTCTGTCAGATTTACATTCTGTATTCTATCAGGCAAATAAAGGCTGGGCTATAAAAGCTAGTAAAATGGCAGTTTAAAAGCAATCACTGGTGGAGTACTGGAAATGGCTCTTGCTATTTAGCTCTGTTATTAAAGTGTTGCTGGAACAGGCTTCATTTAACTGCAAAGACACCGGGTACCACGAAGGCACGGCAACGCAGGGGCTTAGTCATAAGTCCTGAGCGCTGGCTGTGACGCAAAGACATCTTTGAGTAGCCAAGGATCTCTGCTTCCAGGCACGAATTCCGTGAAGCTTTGGGCTGGAGCCAGGGAGGAGCTTGCCTTGTCTCCAGGCTCATCATTTCCACGCAGTCGAACATCTGGGGAATTAGCCGGGTCACCCTGGGAAACTGTGAAACCCATCAGCAGAAACATTGCCCCGACGGTGCGCCCCAAAAGGATCAATCTATTTGAAGGCACACATCAAAGGGCTAATGCATTGCCAACCATGGTGTAGGCTGCAATCTCCGCTAAAAGGTTTCCCACCTCCTGGGTTTCGGTGCTCAATATTTGATGGGATGATGCACATGAAGTAGGTGGGAGTCTCAACCTCAGAGTTTCATCTGTGTTTTCATCCCTTCCCTGCTGTGTCTTTTGTCTTGACTGTCCTGCCTGCAATTAATTCCTGCAGTCCTGAGCATCCTCCTTTCTTGGTATGGAAGATGCCACTGGTCTTCACAGCTGTAATGAGCACTATATCTCAGAGACAGGTCAGCCTGATACCATGCTGCAAAGAGTCCAAGGCATCCCAGGCAAAGATTTCTACCTGTGGCCGGAAGACCTGGCCAACTAACTTCCCTTTGGCCAGCCAGGACTCATCAGAAGACCGCAAGACACATCAAGACACCTTCCTAGTGCAAGAACTTAGGAGATGGCTTTTTCCACCCTGACTGGCCAGGAGTGCCTTTTGTCAAATCAAAGGCAGACCCCCACATCCCACCTTTCCTCTCTTTTGTCTTGAAAACACCCACTGCTCAGCAGGCAGGAGAACTGGGATGCCATATAGGTTCTCATTAGTCCTCATGCAACTGATGGAAACATCATAGAATCATTTTGGTTGAAAAAAACCTTTAAGATCATCAAGTCCACTCCAAGGTTGAACTTGATGATCTTGAAAGTCTCCTCCAACTGAAACTGTTCTATGATTCTATGATTCTATATGCTCAACCACTATCTAACTCCACCAGGCCCACTTCTAAGCCATGTTGCTGAGCACCACATCTAGATGGAGGTAGAGTTTCTTGTCTGTACCTCTGCAGAGATGTCTACCCACCACTCTTATCTGTATTGAGAGTTCTCATGCTCTTAATAATAGTGTGACCTGCTCTGGCAGAGGGGTTGGACTAGATGATCTTTGGAGGTCCCTTCCAACCCCTGATATTCTGTGATTCTGTGAAAAGTCAAAATCTTGCTTATAACTGTTCTTACACCTACTGCACTCTGGGTTATAAGGCCTTGAGTACCACTTAGTTTTCAGATCTTGCAGAGTCCTGTCTGTCTTTTGTGCAATGGTGGGGAAGGAGTGTCCTTTCACCTTCCTGGACCAGCCATATTTAGTGTCTGACTGTCCCAGTGTTAAGCAGAATCCCCTGGCTTGGTCTCATTTCTTGCTTTGTCTTCAGGTGTACAGCTTTGTGAACTCCACATCTGTGAACTCCTAACGATCAGCGTGGACTGGAAAATCCTGGATTTCTCCCATCTTTCCCCTCACATGCTTGTGGCTCTGCTCCAACATGGGCTTTGGCAGACGTGCTCTGGCAAGCGTTGAAGAGTGAAGCACGTCAGAAACAGTTCTGAGAACAAAAGCAGAAGGTCCAAGGAGCTGACGGGTCTCCCATCCTTCAGGCAAGTTGAAGCAGGACACCCTGGGAGTAAACACATGGCTGTGTGGATGGTGTTATCACACAGACCCTGGCTTCCTCTGTTAGAGGGCAAGGATCCACAGGCTGCTGGCCAAATATAGACTCCAGCTCACTCAAGGAGGTGAAGTACATCCCTGAGCTCCAACTTGTGCATCTAGTGAGGAGGACTGCAAGCCAAGATGGAGAGCGCCAAGGAACACTGGTAATGGTAGACTCTGGAAACCTAAAATAGGGAGTAATGGCAAGAGAGGGGAAGAAGGGTATTCATAACAGAGCTTTAAGGAGAATAAGGGGTTAATCTGCCAGCATACCAATCTGCAAAGCATGGGAGTTAAAGAGGAGTTGTAAGCCCTAACAGGTGATCAAGACGATGGCTTAATAGGCAGAACGCAGACTGCAATATTAATATAAAAGTGTGAAGCATGGCAGGAATATCAATGTAAAAGAGCACAGTGCTTTTAGAAAAGCGAAAAAGGAGGAGAAAGACTCTTGAATATGAAGAATGCACTCCTTTGCCTTGAGGTCCAGTAGTAACGTCAACAAGATTCATTGAAATTCTCTGGGCAATGATTACAGGGAGAAGACACAAATGCTGTCAGCTCGGTTGGGAATTCCTATAGATCACCAGATCAAAAGGGTAAATGGTCGAGATTTTTCACAAGCTGTTCAAATTACTCAGATCAGCAGGACAGAAAGGGATCAGCAAACAGTTGTGATGAATTGGTGGCAATTTGTGGATATGAAAGATGGAATCAGAAGGCAAATGAGAACTGCTAGCCATGACCTTTAAGGCCTTTTATGGGACAGGCTGGATACAGGTCGACTGGACCAAGTAGTACCTGTTTTCAGGGAAAGGGGAGACTTGGGGAATGATATATGAGACAGCCTATCCTACCTCTCCAGAATAACTCGGGGAAAAAATAATCAAAACATCTGTGAGACCTTGGCTTTGTGAAGAAAAGTCACGTTAGGACGTTGCATCCTAACACCGGTGTCTGAAATAGATGACGTGAATCATGCTCTAAGAGTACCCTAAAGCTACCAATAACCCAAGCCTGAGCATGGCTCACTCGGCTGTGGAAAGCGATCATGGCAGACATCTCACCTGAAGTCAAATAAATTTCTCCCAGGATGTCATACATCATGTCTCTTCCAACAAGGCTCCAGCTCTGATCTGACTTTTGCAATTTTAGAAATTTAATGAAGAACCAAATCCAAACTCTCTTATATCAGTCTAGCTCCAAGCAGAACACAGATGACATTAACCTGCACCAGCAGAATCCGTAAATATTTCCAGAAGAAGGATTACTTAGGTTTCCTCAAACAGAGAAGGGCAACGGAGCTGGGGAAGGGTCTGGAGAATACGTATGATGAGGAGAAACTGAGGGAGCTGGGGCTGTTCAGCTGGAGAAGAGGAGGGTGAGGGGAGACCTCGCCACTCTCTGCAGCTCCCTGACAGGAGGGGGTAGCGAGGTGGGGTCAATCTCCTCTCCCACGTAACAAGCAATAGAACAAGACAAAAATGACCTTGAGTTGCACCAGTGGAGGTTTAGGTTGGACATCAGGAAAAATTCCTTCACAGAAAGGGTTGTGAAGCCCTGGCACAGGCTGCTCAGGGCAGGGGTGGGGTTCCCACTCCTGGAAGTATTTAAAAGACATGTGGATGTGGTGGTTTAGCTGTGGACTTAGCGTTGTTAGGTCAGTGGTTGGACTTGATGGTCTTAGAGGTCTTTTCCAAATAAAATGATTCTACGTATCTATGTGCTGCTCCCCATGGATGCCTGTAGAAAGCAGCACGTCAGTCAACCATGACTGGAGGTTTGCTGGCCAGGATGGTGGAGTCCAGCTGTGTTTCCTTTGCACTCAGCAGCCTCAACAACGGTCTTCGCTCTGCTCCTGCTCTACTACTGGTTGCAACCGATGGATCCAGGGGTTTGCTACTAAGCAATTTCGAAAGTGTACTTGATGCTTACGTGCAGTGAGCAATCCCAGGTGCTGAGTTCTTACAGCCTTGTCGCCTTGGCAAGGTGCTCGGGAGGTTGTTTACAAATAGGCAGGGGTTGATATACTTAATTGACACTTTTTTCTCAGTGAGCAATTACCAATCTGGATTATGGGTTTGTACATAGTTACAGAGACATGAGCAGCAGTCACGGGGCAGCACTGAATGGCTGTGGAGCCTTTCCTGCAACAGGTAGATGCTGAGAATCACCCGTTCACACACAAAGAGGCGTAATTGGGGAATAGGTTAAGGAAATACTGATATTGCTCACTGTGATAAAGCAACTGAACATGCTCATATTCCCACGACCTGAGAAAAAGTCCCAGTCCCTTCTTGGTGTTCCCTCTCTTCCTATTCATTCTTTTCCCAAATGAAAGGAAATCAGCAGGGCATTTTTTTTTTTACTTTGGACAAACTTGGAGATCATTTTTTTCACTTGGGGTTTCTTCCAAGCAAAACGGTGAAGTTTAAAGGCATGAAAACACTTTAGCGAAACAAAATTCCTCATCCTCTCAATTGCAATTTGTCAGCGAAATCAGAGTTTATCCAGATCCTCTAGAAAAATTGGTTTCCCTCTGGCCAGCAACACAGGCATACTGAGCAATGAGAATAGCCACTTGTAGTCCAGTCTCTTAAGGATAGATCCATTTCTCATGGGTTATACAACCTATAGCCACAATTCTTCAGCCACTTGAACATGAAACATCATCTGCTCATGTCTGGCAATGCCCTCTAATACACTAAAGGCATTAAGAAGTAATAAGCAAATGCATATTTCACATGCTCCTTAATGCAAAAATGCAACATTCTATGTTGCACGTGTCCCATGCTCACGGCTGGTCTTCCAGCAAAACCTCTTTCAGCCTGAGCTTTGTGGAGGAGCACTGAGCCAGCACTGCCTCATCCCACCCAACGACCCCCATATGTGGCTGTGGGGAGAGGTCCAGCAGTGGAAACCAAACTCTACTCCCAAGACTTGCAAACTCAAAGAAAACATGCTCCAACTCACAGCAGAGCCCGGCAACCCTGGTTCTCCTGGGTCCCCCTGCAAGGAAAGTAGTGATGAGTTACCATAGAGAAGAGCTGTATTTCCTCTGGAAATAGGGATATCTGTAGGAGATACCTACAGCTGTGAAAGGGAACACAAGGTGACCTTTGGAGACTACTGGAGGGGGCTGGTACCCCAAACATCTCAACTGGGCAACTGAATGGAGCCCTAAGTCTCTAATGATGAAGATGGTGAGACCCCGGCACAGGTTGCCCAGAGAGGTGGTGGAGGCTCCATCCTTGGAAACATTCAAGGTCAGGCTTGATGGGGCTCTGAGCAACCTGATCTGATCATGTCTCTGCTCACTGCAGGGGAGTTGGACTAGATGACCTTTAAAGGTGCCTTCCAACTCAACATATTCTATGATTTTATGACTGATTCTATGAGTCTATGAATGTGGTGCTCAGGGATGTGGTTTAGTGGTGGATCTGGCAGTGCTGGGTTAACAGTTGGACTTGATGATCTTAAAGGTCTTTTCCAATCTAAACGATTCTATGATTCTATTCTATGATGACTACGAATGGAGTTTAGATAGCAGTTCACACCTCACACCTGAAATATTGACATTCCAGTGAGTTGTTATTGACAGTTAAAATGGTGCAAGAAAGATGCCAGAGCACTCTGCTGCTTTACAGAGCGGCTCTTTAAGGCTGTCCTGGAAAAGTGTAGCTTCTGCTGTCTGATAGCCCCGTAACATTTCAATCAGCAATTTTGGAGAGGGAATGCAGGATTGTGGATTGACAGGACTTTACACGTCAGTTTTTGTGCAATTTAACACATCAGTTCTTGCAGGGGATGCTTTACCACAGATGCTTAGTGTACTCACCTTTTGTCCCACTGGTCCTCTTGTTCCAAAAAGTCCCATCACTCCCTTGTAGCCAGCTTCACCTTTGACTCCCTAAAAATTTAAAATCCTTGTTTAAATACATTTTGACTACTCAATGCTCTTGAAGTGATTTCCCCTCCCCTCCCCAAGAGAGGCCAGTAGAAGAACCCATGGAGATGGCAGAGAGGTCTGTACAGCAGCTGTTGCTGGGAAAGAAAACCATCAGCTGCAGAAGGGCTTGGTGAAAACTTCAGTGAACCATCCTGTAAAAGAGTTGGTGGCCAGTGATGAGAGTTGAAGAAATATGAGTGGAAAAGGGTCTTAAAGCCTATGAGCTGCCTCCTTGCAAATGCTCAAGAACAAGACCATGCTGGACTTACTGGTGGTGGAGATGCTACCCTGGGACTCTGTCCAAAGACACTCAGATATTCAGCCAAGAGATGTTCTTGCTTTAAGAGATGCTTATGTTTTTGGTTTGGTTTTTTTTTATTAGAAAGCAATCTGATAGATATCATATATGGGCTTTCATCTGACTTAAAAAATCAAGTACCACCCATGGGAGCATCTCTCTGTTTTTTTTTTTATAGTTGCCGGGGACCTAATCAGTGCAATCAGTCATGGTAAGGACATGATTTGCCTCTTCACAAGGGAGATGCCCACACTGGGTCAGGCAATTCCCACCCCGAACTAGGCTGGTTATACAAGTCTCCATGGGAAATAATGGAGGCTGGATGTCTAGCTGGGACAGGAATGCTGCTGTTGTAGATATTTATATTTATTCAGTAGAATCCCTGTCTTGGGTCAGACTTCTGGAGCAAAAAGCATTAACATAATATGAAAATAGGTATGATTAGTACATGGAGATTTAATCTTGTGACTCAGTCTGAGAGTGGGAGAGTTACGTGATTCCTCCCAGCAGAGTCGTGATGGGTCAGGAGCTGAGACCTCAGAGTGCTCTTAAAGACAGAAGGCAGACAGAGGAGCAGGCGACTCCCTCTGCCACCACCCAGGGGACAGCCCCGTGAAGAACTGGAACAGAAGAGCCCACCAAACCTTAGCAAGAATGTCACAAGGGCTGCAGGCCCAGTTCTTGGAGGGAGAGGGAGATGCTGGACTCTTGCAGTGCTGCAGTGGTTGAATGGTCACTTTTCCCAGAGTGCTTTTGTACTGCAGACATGGTCCTAAAACTACAGGCTTGACACCTGGTAAACTGGATGTGTATCTTGTTGCCAAAGCCCAGCCCAGAATCCTCCTCTTCTTTCCTGTGGTAGGAATTGGGCGAGCGTGTCGTTACGCCGTGTTTTCCAGCAGGCACATGGGAAGGGAGGATGCAGAGATACTGGTCCCTTCCTCACACAACCAATGACCTTTTTCTGTGTCTCTCAGTCGCATCAGGAGGCTCCTACCTTTTCTCCTACTGGCCCATCTTCTCCCTTCTCGCCTTTGTCACCATCGAAACCTGGCAGGCCCTGTTCACCCTGAAAGGTATGACAGAAATTAGTGGATTGTGCCTCTCTTCTGGAAGGATCCAGCTCTGGGCCACTGGCTCTGAACCAAAGTGCTGATTCTCAGAGCTTATCCCAAGCTGTCCTTTGCGCTGATGTCACCAACAGTGGGGAAGGGACGGCTCTTAAAAAGGCAGTAAGAGTCAAACTTACAGGATCTCCTTTAGTGCCTTTGTAGCCCTGGGGTCCAAAACCAGTCATGGGCTCGCCCTAGGGAACGGAGACACAGAGAGATGTAGACACCTAGTGACACATGAACTCATGGGCCCCACTAGATGGAACTGACTATAGAAGTAGAATCAAAGAATCATAGAATGGCCTAGGCTGGAAGGGACCTTAGAGATCATCTAATCCAACCTCCCTGTCATGGGCAGGGACGCCACCTCTTGAATAGACCAGGCAATACAGGGGGACCAAGCAGGAATCGAACCCACAACGTCGGTGTTGTCATTGTTGTCAGCACCACGCTCAAACCACTGAGCTAACCGGCCCTATGATGGGCAATATAGTAATTCACAGACTGCGGTCCATATTCCCAGAAAGGCATGTATGCTCTGCAGCACAGCACTAATTGTCAGTCATTCTTAACTAAAAGCTGGACGATGAACTTGTGTAGAAAACTACAAGAAGTTCTGAGGTTGGACAGAGATGTCTTGCTCCAAAAGATGTTGGAGCTCACTGGTATTACTCCAGTTTAGATGTCATTTAGATGGAAATGGAGCTCTGCATGGCATGACCCTGATCTGAAGCTGTCAGTGGTGGGATAGGTTCATATCTGACATGATGGCTTGGCTCCTACAGCACTGTATGCCACTCAGGGCGTCAAGGTTTCCATCTCTTCCCAAGTGTGGGAGCTGACAGGATAGTGAACAGGTCTACTCGTGGTGGTCTGATTTATGGACACCGAGTTGCAGCTATGGAAGGGCAGTAGCACTTGGGGAACCCCTCAGAGGTAGTTTTTGGAGGGTCAGACCTCCATACTGTCATCCTGAGACAGTCAGTAGCTACAGGCACGTAGTAACCTCATGGGCACATCTGTGCCAAGTCTATTTATCAGCTCAGCAGCTGAGGATGGACATTTTGCTCCTCAAAGAGTGAAAAAGCTATGACAAGTCTATTCCCATGCAAGAAACGTCTTTGCTCTGGCAAAGCGATGATTGTGTCTCCCAAGTGGTGATACTGTCCGTAGTCTGGAGGGCAGAGGGCTGAAGCCGCCTTCTACCGGGGAGCTGTAGCCCATTTGAAAAGCACTCCCCTTCCACCAGCTCTCTTTAGTGCTGCAAACATCCCAGTTCAGGGTGACCGTGCCTTGCTGCTGGAGTCTTAAAAACCACACACTCATCAACGTTCCCCAGACTTTGACAACCAGTTGTAGTTTATCCAGCCATTACCCATCCCTGTAGGGCCCTGATCAAATTCTGGCTTAATACACCCTCCTGCTTCCCTGCTCTGGAGGGTCTCTAAGGGAGATGGAATGGGGCTCAATCAATTTGTGGAACAAAAGGGAGAATAAGGATCCTGTAGTTTAATCCAAGACATAGCACAGGCTCTGGGATTCGTGCAGTTACTCCTGGATTGATCAAGGGAGAATTAGAAAGAGAGTTAAGCTGCAATCTTGTGGAACAAACCCAAGTCAATTATCTCCCCCTACTCCTGTTTTATCTCGCACTCCACCTTATATTTTATTAAGGTATTCTTTGGAAAATGCATTACACATTCCTTCAGCTTGGAAAGTGTTTTAGGGCCTCTTCATGAAGCAGATTAAGAATTGATTCATCTCTGGAGCGAGTCCCCTTTGAAAGTAGCTTCCTCAGAGACAAATCGGCCTTAATCATTTAATACCGCATGACTCAAAGGTAGAATCGTCATGTAGGTTTTCTAAAACTCATTTTGTAACAAGCCATTTCAGTCAGGAAGGAAGTTAACAAAACACTGGGCAGAAGTTCAGCATTTTCTGTGCATTTTCCAGAAGCGTTCGGGGAATTATTTTCACATTACCTGTTATGAGCCAGCTCAGGCTTTTTAAGATTGCGGGATGCTTTGGGGTCAGCTGGTTATGCCAAAATCAGTGGAAATTGTCTTTCTCCCTTTAATTCACAGGAGGCATTTTTGTGCCCCAGCAAATAGTTGCCAAAATGACTTCTTTTTTTCTATGATTCTATGATTCTATTCTGTTTAAACTATCACGCAAACTCAAGCCGGAGCGGTGTGTCTAGTGCAAGGATGGCAACGACAAAGTGGATTGGAATTGGTGGAGACCCTCGAGAAGGAGGGTCTTCTACACAGGAGTGCAACGTGGAGAGGATCCAGGCACTTCTTGGAGGCACACATTGAAAGGACAAGTTGCAACAACGGAAACTCCTATTGGACTACTTCTG